AGGTTGAATAGAACTCCGTACTCTTCGCCGTGTTCAATGAACCCTGGCAACCCTGAAGTTGAGATCCATATAAACGCCATGATCAATAGCCCTGATAACCCTGAGGTTGAATAGAACTCAATACCTGCGCTGTTTTCAGTAGACCAAGCAACTCTCGGGATTGAACTCCGCACAAACGTCACGGTCGCGATCAATAGCCCTGAAAATCCTCAAATTGAACTAGGCCAGATAACCCCATGGATTCGACCACGACTAACAGACCCCAACAATTCTAGGTTGAACACCGTGTCCACGCTGTGTTCGATGTACCCCGAAAACCCACACCAAGATCAATAGACCCCCAACAACTCTAGGTTGAACACCGTGTCCACGCTGTGATCAATATAATCCGATGATCTTGGGAATTAAACTCCGTAACCACACAATGATAATCATACCCTGACAATCCTCGGGTTGAACATCCTACCCAAGTGTTGTGATCAGTGGACCCTGACGACCCTAGGGCAACCGCACGTGATCATTGAAGTCAACAGCAAGTAGAAGGTTGGACCTTGGATGTCATATGTAGTGATATAACATACAGTCCGTACGTGACAACATGATTACATATAATTACGCTCATGAACACCACTCTTTTAGGAGTGACAATCAACTTCAAATTCAACAATGACGAACAGGAACACTCATCTTTTCACTCCGCGCCATACTGATTGTGTGACGGCGGCTTGTTCTAGGACTCGTTATGCTGACGCCCGACCATAATTTCCTGATGTTTTAAAATGCTGTTAAAAATTCATTCAATCTCTAAATCTTGTTCTTGTCAGATTGATTGACATTGACACCTTCTATAAGCGACAACATAATAGCTACGGATATCGTACCACAGTGGGGACGCTCATGGAAGACAATAGAAAAAGCGACAGCGGCAGAACCTAATAGTCCAAAATATCATAACCTCATAAAACGCAACAAAAAAACAAGAAAAAAAAACAAGACCCCCCCCCCCGCAAAAAAACAACAACTCAAAACCTAGAATTTTTGTGCCAAATAACGTGTGGTTGATTCACAATCGCGAAGTCGCTCATCACGTCACTTGCATTTGGGTCTATATCCCAGTATATATACATCACATTAACTGCAGTCGGGTTGTTGAATCTAACGATACACCGAGTTACACCGTGCGTCTTTTCTTTGCTTTGATTTGTTCTCACATAACTGATTCATTTATTATGCCGACTGTTCTACCCGCACACATGTGCATATTCTATGCTGGTATATACACACTGTTTAACACGTGCTATATTATGTACGCCGCCATTATATACTCAGTTCACGAAACGTCTTAACTGTTTTGAAGACATATCAGAAACAGAAACAAATTTGAGGAAATACTATTCGTCAAAAAAATCAGAAAA